CGCGCTGCCAGCTGCTGTGCAGACATCCCTTGCTTTCTCTGCTCTCCCAGCCTTTGCATCTGCTGTTCCCATTACCTCAAGTGGCCTCCTCTTCTGTCCTGACCCTTCCTTGCCTGGAAAACATCTCAGCTGAAGTCTTGGCTTCCAGGAGTGAGATATTCCCAGGGCTCCTCTTGACACTTAGAGAGCTTGAACTTCAAAACTGTAATTGTTTGCATGCCTCTCTCCCTTTCTGCCTCCTTCCCCAAATCACTTTTCCATCTTTGTATATGCTGTGCCCAGCAGACTTTCCGGCCCTAAAGTACCAATTGTTTGCCCAGCCAAACAGTGGACTGAGTGGCTTAGTGGACTGAGTGTCATCCCATGCACCAAGAGGTTGCTGGTTCAATTCTCGGGATGTGGTCAGAGCACATGCCCGGGTTGTGGGCTCGGTCCCCAGTAGCAGGTGTGCAGGAGGCAGCCAATCAATCTTTTTATCTCTCCATTTCCTCTCTAAAATCAATAAAAACATATTTTTTGATCTTTTTATCTCTCCATTTCCTTTCCTCTCTCCTAAAATCAATAAAAACATATTTTTTGAAAAGTACTAAATGTTTGTTGAATCAATTCATTCTTTTTAACTGATCTCCTTCCTGTCACCCTGTTTCTTTCGAATGTATCTTCCAAATGCACAAGCTGGTTTTCAGAGCTGAGCCGACCATGCCACTGGCTACCTGCACATATGCTCATGCCTATAGAGAAGCATCCAAACTCCTCAGCACTCAGTCCTACAGCTGACTCCAGCCATCTTCATTTCTGACCACTCCCCAAAATCTACTTTCTGGCTTATGCCATCACTTCCCATTTTTACAGCCTTCAGCTCCCCTGCCCTGCAAAACTGGACACACTCACACACAAGGTTGTTCTCAGAAAAACCTGCACTGGACCTTACCTCCTGGACATCTGCAAACTGCTTTCACGTTTGCTCTCTCTGTCTGATCTCAGACTCTCAGCTCTCTGCCTTGACTCTCACTTTAGCTTTTTGGACTAGGGGTTTCTACTTAGTCCCCTTGGCACCGGCCCCTTGTTCCTCAGCTTTCCTTAAAGGGCCATGGTAGAGTTGGTTCATTGGCCCTCACCATCTCTTCTACTGTTTCCTCTGTAATAACGGATCCTGCAGCTTTCAGAGGGGCCCTTGACCACCCAAAATAAAGACTTGCCTTCTGCAGCCTCCACTGAGGTAACGGTGGCCACCTACCTAAGTCCGGGTACATGGGATGTGAGCAGAAGTAAAAGCTGAAGCCTGCGCTGCTGCTCCTTTAAGCCCCTGTTATTGCAGATGTATCTGTATGGTAACTAGGACTTCGGCTTGAACGCATCTAGATCTCTTGCTCTTCTACTAGTATAGGACACCCTGCCCCATTGAGGCCCCTGGGAAATCCATTTCCAGAAGCAGGGACTAGCATCACAACATTTATCCTCTTCACACAATGCTACCTATCCGGAAAGACCTTAGATTCTTTTCTTCACCTTCCCTCCTCCACCTCCTCCACGTAGTAAAATTTTGTCCTGGCATCGCAACAGCCCCCTTTCCTGTGTACAATTTCCCCATGTCTAACTTCGCTACATTTTGTGTTCCTCCATAAGGAGCAGAACTGTTATCTTATTCATTGCCACAGTCCTTGGCTCTAACATACCTGGCACATGCTTCGTACCTCTTTCATAAAGTTGTGTGGATTGATGCGCACTAAGTTCTGGTACAGTAGTTGTAGCTGTTGTCACACAGCAGTTGTGTTCACCACTGAGCCCTGCGGATTGCTGTAGAATTCACATCTGTAGCAGTGTTTCGATATGTGATATCCCATTACCTTTCTGACATTTTGTGCTTCATTAAAGAGACAGTCACTGCTTGTATATATTGCCCGCTTGACTTAACTGAGCCATAATACAAATTATATATTACATTCTTTATGGATCAGAAATTAAAATCTTGTAGATTTGGGTTACATCTTTTATCATTTCTGTTTGTAATTTAAAGTAACATCACCCAGAATTATATTGAGATCAGTGACATTTGTTGATGTGATGAATATTCAGGCTTTTTTCTAATTGGTGATGATTATGTTGATTATAATAACACAGCTAATAAATATCGAGAGTTTAGTAAGTGCTGAGAATATGAGAGCTTTGTATGCATCTTTTCTGTAAGTCACATAACAACTCTATGAAATAAATATTTGAAACGTAGATAAGGAAACTGAAGCAAAAAATGTTAAATGGTTTACCAAAAACATAGATAAAATAATTTATATTGGCAGGGTTATAATCCAAGTCTATTTTGTCTTTTACCTGCTTTTGCTGTAGGTGCTAACTTGCATAAGAAATGTATTGTTTTTCTCTTTTATAATCTGGGAATTCACAAAGTTTAGTGCTCAGACTGCATTCTACTTAATCCTCTTTTTAGAGTAATCTCTAAATCAACATTTCTGAATTTCTCACTATCTTATGCATTCACAGGTCTTGTGAAAATTAATAAACAGTTTTATTAGAATTGTTATTTATATATTGACTTTGATTTCACTTAATTTCTTGACTTAGTGACTTCTTCAATCTGAACCCCAGCCCAACAAAGCCAGACTGCGATTACAGTCATAGAGGAAACCCCTCCCACCTGGGAGGGCCAGTGAGAATCAGGTGTCCTGGCTGATTCCCTTTCAGGCAGGTGATTGTCTCTCCCTGGGGTCCTCTGGTTCTGCTTCTCCATTTTGTGGGTCCAAGGCCTAGTCTCCAGTCGCCACAGAATCCAAAAGTAGTCTCTACACCAGCTCTGCTCTTGAACCAGCACTGGCTTCCTGTTCAAATTTCACTTAATTGGTGGTTTCAGCTTACTCCTTGGTTTTCTTTCTAGCCCTTAGGGATTTCCTGTACTTCCTTGTGAATTCTGGTTGCATTTCAAGTATGTTTGGGGGCAATATGAGGCAGTTGGAACGTACATGTTCTCCTAGGGGGAGTGGAAATTGCTGTAGCCACTTCTGAAAGCACTTTGCAATATATACTAACATAGAACATACGCATACCTTGTGACCCAGCAGTCCAACTCTGATTCATACACTCAACAGGAATGTGGACCATAGTATCTACCAAAGGACTTGTGCTAGAATTTTCATAGTAGGACCCAAATGTCCATCCATAAAAGCTTAGGTAAGTAAGGAAATTGTGGTATAATGACATTAGAGAGTGCCACATGGTAATTTTAAAAAGTGCAAAACAAAAAGATGAACAATGACTACTCCCAACACATGGATAAATTGTATAGACATTATGTTGACTGAAACAAGCCATATATAAAAGTGTGCCTGCAGAATGATACCATTTATATAAAGTTCATTAGCAAGCTAACCAATCTCTAATACTAGAAACAGAACAGTAGATACCTAGGGGGCACAGGTGGTGGGGGAAGATGGGGAGAGAAGGGAGGGGGCTAGAGATTGAGATGAATGCTTACAAAGTGCTCCTTACACAAGTATTGTACTTCGTGATCATTCTTCAAGCTGAATACTTGTGGACTTTCTATGCGAATACTATATGCTTCAGTAAAATATTCACATAAAAAAAGTGTGTTTTGCCGAAACCGGTTGGGCGCAGTGGATAGAGCGTCAGCCTGCAGACTGAAAGGTCCCAGGTTCAATTCCGGTCAAGGGCAATGTACCTTGGTTGCGGGCACATCCCCAGTGAGGAATGTGCAGGAGGCAGCTGGTCGATGTTTCGCTCTCATTGACGTTTCTAACTCTCTATCTCTCTCCTTTCCTCTCTGTAAAAAATCAATAAAATATTTTTAAAAAAGTGTTTTTTGCCAAACAGAAAGTGTGTGTGTGTGTGTGTGTGTGTGTGTGTTTTGCCAAACAGAAAGTGTGTGTGTGTGTGTTTAGGGAAATGAGAAGGATGTTGCTTGTTTTGGTTGTTATTTCCTTGCCATAGACCAGTGATGGCGAACCTTTTGAGCTCAGCGTGTCAGCATTTTGAAAACCCTAACTTAACTCTGGTGCCGTGTCACATATAGAAATTTTTTGATATTTGCAACCATAGTAAAACAAAGATTTCTATTTTTGAAATTTATTTTATACAGTTAAGTGCCATTTAACAAAGAAAAATCAACCAAAAAAATGAGTTCGCGTGTCAGCCAGAAAAGTGAGTTCGCCATCACTGCCATAGATTCTGGTCTGTTCAGTTTTGTGCTTATTTTTATGGGAAATCAGGAAACAAAACATAATGTGGTAAAAGTTGAGCTAGGAGAGTTCCTTGGTAAATATCCGAAGGTAACATCCTGCTGGACAGTTATTTATTAGAAATGTTTGCATTTATTTCTACTTTGGTTTTGAAAATAAGAGTCAGTTTGTTACTGATATTTTTTGAGTGAAGATTTCCTTAAGCAGCATAAAAGAAGAAAAGCTGAAAAAGAGAGGGAACATAACTTCAATATCTATTGGGAATGTTTTTCTCAAAATACAACCAACATGGTCTTTATATATTTAATATTTAAAAAAAGTAAAACAGACACAATAAGATCGGAAATTTTAAAAAGTGCTTACGAAGATTCTGGGACAGAATTGTTAACATTGGAGTCCCACACACATGATCAGGAAAGCAGTTCATAGTCCAGTATTCAGCAAGCAGCATCCAGTTGTAGCAAAAGCCCTTTTGCTTTATGTTATGAAATTAACATTGAGAGATACTGTCTGCCGAAGTCAATTTCTTTCCTAATTTCACTCTGCAAATTGAGTGATTAGTAAACTGATTTTTTTTTCTCTTGAAACATAAGACGCTGTTCTGTGGAGCATGGTTTTGGTCCTGTGCTTCACAGTTCAATGAAGCATTCTTTGCTTTTCATTTTGGGACATGGTTTAGTTTGGGTTGCTGGGGAATTACTGATTTGTTTGCTGTGGGCAAATGACTTTTCCTGTGGGGTTTTAGCTCAAGTCTCTTAATTTGGACGGAAGGTAATAGAGCTCTTGTCTTTACAGAATTGCCTAGAAATTCTGTGTAGGCATGGCGGGCTTGAGCCAGAAAGGAGAGATAAGTGCGGTCGGACTGCACATGATGTGGCCAATGATGACTGCAAGCATCTGCTGGAGAAT